CTGCCACAGAGATTGTCACTCGCTCAGCCTGGCGGGCTCATTTTACTGTCTGCTTGCTGCCTAGAAGCAGCTGAGTCAAGATTTCTGAATAGAGAGAGATGTTAAGAAGTAAGAATGGTTCCTTGAGGTGATGGCACAAGCCTTTAATCCCAGCACTCGGGAGGCAGAGGCAGGTGGATCTCTGTGAGTTCAAGGCCAGCCTGGTCTACAGAACAAGTTCCAGGACACTGACAGTCAGGGATATACAGAGAAACCCTGTCTTAAAAAGACTAATAATAATAATAATTATAATTATAAATAAATAAAAGAAGATGAAGAACGGTGATGCTGGAGGGCTGTGATGTATGATGGGGACTTGAGGCTTCACATGGTAGTTAGAGGTGGCCAGTTACTAAGGTCTTAAGCAGATGTATATTATGGGAATTCAGCTCTTACATAAGGTCGTGGGCAGGCAGGCTGGATGGAGGTGAATCAGCAAGAGAGCTGGTGTCGCCGGCATGAACCATGCCAGTGGCAATGAGATCTACACAAAGTCTGTGGTGGAGGGGAAGGGCTGGGGGTAAGGAGGAGAGAGAATGGAGGCAACTCACAGACCACTTGAAAAAAGCGTGGGCAGAGGAGATGTCAGGATTCCCCCAGCTTCTGGCTAGGTTAGTGGGTATCGTGCTGTGTCAGGAAATCCAGGTGGAGAATGTGAATGAGGGGAGCAAGTGAGGACGCTTGTCAGTAACCGGGAGTGGGGAGGCAGAAGGACACCCAGGGACAGGTGTCAGGTAGGCCATCGCATGCACCATGTTGGAGACCCAGACCGGGCTCTGTGTCTTCAGTAGGAGCTGATGGGAGCAAATGAAACACCTGGGAGGGGAACGGGGGCTGAGAAGTTACATAGGGGGATGAGATGGGGACTGTGCGACAGTGGCCTGTACCACCTCCTGGGATGGGTGGGGGTGCCGCAGATGGCCCTCAGTGTCTGAGCCGAAGGGAAGCTTGACTAGACTAAGAGGATGACAACATCCCCGAGGGGCAGCGGCAAGCATGTAAGGTGGCAGGCAGGGAGAGGCCAGAAGCGTGTAGGTATGGTAAAGGGGACAGCCCGTGGGATGAAGGAGTACCTTGCAGAAGTACTCCTTCGAGCTGACGGTGGGACAGGAGGCGTAAGCTTGCTGCTCTCATCATCTAGGCTATGACATGCAAGCAGGTGTATGTACTGAAGGGGAGGGAGTCTTCCCCTCAGACCCGGTGAGCTTTGTAGTCAGGGCTGTCTGCCTCGATGGACTGTGGATGAGCAGCTGGCTTAGAAGAGAAAGTGCTCAGCGGATGGTAGTGTCTGCCACCATCATCCATGGCAGCCCTGCTCCGAGGAAGACCAAGAGGGGCACAGGTAGAGCTCTCCTCCCCGAGGGTCCGTGAAGCACCTGCTACCTCTTGCCTTCTCGCTAAGGCCGATGGTCTGTGCCCGTGGGTGGGAGCTTTGAGACTCTCTTAGTGACTTGCGTCATTGCTGTCACAAAATACCTGACAAGAAGCAAACTTAAGGAAAGGAGGGTTTATTCTGGCTCACATTCAAGGATGCAGTCCGTCATGGGGAGGTGGGGAGTGATGATGGCCGGATCTTGGGACAGCTGGTCACATTGTATTGACAGGCAGAAAGCAGGGGGTGATGGATACTGTTTAGCTCACTTCCTCTTTTTTATTTGGCCCAGGCGCCCAGCCCACAGAACAATTCTGCTCACAGTTAAGGTGATGGCCCCAAATCCCTCACGAGCTTGCCCAAGGCTTGTCTTCCCCATGATTATAGTTCCCCTCAAATTGGCCATCTTAACAATCGCAAGAACTGACCCAGACTCAGCATGGTGACATGTCTGGGCCTCGTGCTCTCCTAACTCCCCAGGATCCTGTCTTCCAATGGTTCTGACCTCACGCACATCAGTCCTACCTTCCTGCATGGATTCCTCCATTCTGTAGGGTTTTCTACAACCCAGGGACATAGGGACATTTGTCCTGAGGACCCAGGTATCAGCACTGCAGAGCTGCAGGCTGGAGTTCCCATCTTCCTATAGGAGCAGGGACACCTCCTCTTGCTCCAGATGCTGACCTCATCTGTATCCATTCCCGCCCTACCCATTTGCCATCAGCCTCCTGGCTAAAAACAACATTTATTCTCTAGCAGCTCTGTAGGCTAGAAGTCTCAAATGAGTTTTATAGGACTAAATTCTTGGTGTCAGAAGTCTAGTTCCTTCCAGAGACTCCAGGGGAGAACCTGTGCCTTATTTTTCCAGTGTCCGCTTGGTGCCAGCATTCCGTGGCCTGCGGCTACATCAGCCCGGTCTGTGTTTCCATCAACACAACGCTCCTCCTCTTCCGTAGCCCATTTCCTGCTTCCCTGGTGTGTAGACAGTTGTGATGGTTTAGAAACCTCTTAGATAATCCCTGACAATCTCAAGATTCTTGATCCAGTCACACCAAGTCCTTTTTGCCATAGAAGGTCACGTCCGTGAGCCCGAAGGGTTAGAGCGTGGACATCTCGGAAGGCCTGTCTTGGTTTATTTCTTTTTACGTTGCTGTAATAGAATACTCCAACAAAAGCAGCTTAATGGAAAAGGGGTTTATTTCAGCTTACAGTTCAAGAGCCCTTTTATGGAGGGGAAACCAAGGCAGCAAGAGCTCAAAGCAGCTGACCGTCACACATCCACAGTCAGGAAGCAGAGAGTAATGTCTGCTTGGTGTGGTGCCACCCCCTGGGGGCAGGATGTCCCACTTTGACACAATCACCATAATCCCCCAGTGGCATCCCAGAGGCTCGGCACCCATACTCTGCAAGGGTGACAGTGAACACTAACAGTCACAGGGCAGTCACTCTGCTGGCCCTCTCTTGTCAGGGTGGATTCTCCACGTGCTTTCACTGTGTGTTGTGAAAAAGTCAAGGCTCTACGCCATCATGGGGGCAACATAGACAATGGAGTTAGTGGCAGGGCCAAAATGGAGACCATTGGCTCTGAGGCCAGGCATATATTGACAGTCCTACCTGAAGGCCCTGCCACTGAACATCTCAAGGCTGAGATGGGACCCTACCTACAGATGTTTGGTTATTCCCAGGAAATGAAGAATCCATCTTGGCTTCCAGAGCCGTTGGCAACTTAATGTGTGGTGAGAGATGGGCATGGCTGGAGCAACTGTGACAGTAACACCTTTTCTCACTTGGCATTTGTGGGCCTTCAGGGCATGGCTGGCAGAGAATTGGTCAAGGAAGGAGGTACATGAGTTCAGGCTGCCTGGGGATGGCACGAGAGGGCTCACCTCAGTGCGGGGGAGTGTGGCTTCTCTACTGGCAGTCACGGCCCCGCTTAACGCCAGGAAATGAGATATTTTCCATCCGACTGCTGCCAGGCCCGGCTGGAGACTTCTGTTTTATTGTCTTGAACAAATGAGCTCAGGCCTGAGGGAATGAGGCCGGTGGGTGGTTTCTGCTGTTTGTCAAATGGAGACAGCATCTCTCCCCACTCTGTCAGAGTTGAACCCGATAAACCCCACTCAGCCTAAAGCTGATCATCTGCAACTCACTGGGAGGCCAGCCTGGAAAACACTGTTCAACCCAGTTCTACCCGATGTCTGCCCTGGAGCCGGGGCCAAGGCACAACTGCCTGCCCTTTCCCGCCCTGCTAGCCATAGGCCTTGCATTCCTCCTGCCTCAGATCACTGGGACACAGATTTCATGCAACAGACTGGAATGGGGTCTCCTGGAACTTAGAGAACCCTGAATCCAAAATTATTTTTGCCTTATCTTATTTTTGTCCCAAGTGGTCAAAGCCAATCATATTTATCACTATCGTTCCCCAGGGCCACTGGTTTTGATGGCAGGTAGGATGGTATCTGCTGATGCCCATGGTTAGGGGGCCCAGAGGAATTTGATTCTTCAGTTATGCTTTTTCCCCAGAGCCCACACACACGGGGTAGACAAGTGCATGCTCTGGGAGTTGCACGTGACTTTAGTATCATTCAAGCTGATATTCATTAATGTCACGTATCAAGCATTTCACATTTTCAATTTAGTCTAGAGTCCTAAATAGCTTTAGTGACCTGTAAGGACCTTTGCTGGATACTGGGCCATTCTAAGGCCACTTGGAGGGGCCCTGCTGAATTCCTGCTCCACTGAGGAAGACTGGAGCTTTAAAAGGGGGAGCCTACAACAAAAGCTGGTGGGGTGCCCTGTCCGTCCAACTTCCCAGCAGGAATTCCAGACAGCCTATTGCTGGTGAGGATATAGATTATGGACTTAATAACAGTTCCCTATGGACATGATTGTCCACTGTCCAGCCAGAGCCTCCCTGGGCTGCTAGGCACAAATGTGGGCTCCTGGCTATGCCTGCCAAAGTCCTTTCTTTTCACACTTCTCTCTGTTCCCAAGTATCTGACTATCTGCTGGCGCCTGTGGTGTGCCAGATGCTTGGTGTTCTGAGTTCTGAGAACGCAGTAAAAGCCACAGCCCTTGGTGTGTATGCTCTTGTTGGGGTGGATGTAGAGGCACACCCTGGCCTGGTGATCACCCAGCGGTAGAGTACTTGCATAGCGTGCGTGAAACCCTGTGTTCAGTCCCCGCTAACTAAAACATATACACTCACACAGGCACAGGCGTATCCTGTAATAGAGGTATGTTTTTGGTACTGTGGTAGCAGGGATCAACAGAACAGGACAGACTGGCTTTCTGGGAGATGGTATATTATCCCAAAAAAATGACTTCATCTCTTTGCCTGTTAAAGAACGGGATCACAAAGACAGAGGCAGGGTGGCATCACAGTGGCCCACCATGATGACTGTGGGGAGCTTTGTGGGAGCAGAATGTAGACTACAAACTGGAAGTACCATCAGATGATGCTGAGACGCCTGGTTCCTCCGGACCACAGAGGCTGCCGAGAGGACAGCTGGAGGGAGCAGCAGAACTGAAGGAGCAGGGAAGACATCTTTAGATCACTTTAACCCTTCCGTCATCTCTTCTCCACTAGGAAGGTGCAAGGACACCCTCTCCACAATCACGGGGCCCACCACCCAGAATACATATGGACGGAATGAAGGAGCCTGGATGAAGGACCCCCTAGCCAAGGATGACAGGATTTATGTAACCAACTATTACTATGGCAACACACTGGTGGAGTTCCGAAATCTGGAGAACTTCAAACAAGGTTTGTGGCTCAGCTCTGATGTGGTAGTGCTTCCCGGCCACATTTCCCCTCTTCTCACTGTGGCATAGTGAGGGTACTCAAGAAGCAGGACATCCTCTGTAGACTGGAAAAGGGCATTTCCTGGAGGGGTGGTTGCCTCTTTGGCTCTCTCTCCCTCTCTCTGCCCTCTTGGCTCTGTCCCTCACCTTCCCACCTCCTGGGATATGGAAGACCTTGAGCTAGGATAGAAAACATCCTCTCTTCCCCTTGGCCCTCAACAGTTTACAAATCTCAGTCCAATAGATGAGCGTGGGACCCTTGGGACACTCAGCAAGAGGCGAGTGGGATTTGCTGTTGCTGTTTGACAGCTGAGGATGCTGGGTGAGAACAGTCAGCAATATGCCATTCGGTACTCGAGAGCGGTAGTGCCAAGACCCAGACCCAGGTGTACAGACCCCAGTCTATAGCTGGTCCAACCCAGGCAGCACTTCCCTGAAGCTTCCCACCTTCTTGCCACCACAGGTCGCTGGAGCAATTCCTACAAGCTTCCGTACAGCTGGATCGGCACAGGTCACGTGGTGTACAACGGTGCCTTCTACTACAACCGGGCCTTCACCCGAAACATCATCAAGTATGACCTGAAGCAGCGCTACGTAGCTGCCTGGGCCATGCTCCATGACGTGGCCTATGAGGAGGCCACACCCTGGCGGTGGCAGGGCCACTCGGATGTGGACTTTGCTGTGGATGAGAATGGCCTGTGGCTCATTTATCCAGCTCTGGATGATGAAGGCTTCAGCCAGGAGGTCATTGTCCTGAGCAAGCTCAACGCCGTGGACCTGAGCACACAGAAGGAGACCACCTGGCGCACAGGGCTCAGGAGGAATTTCTATGGCAACTGCTTCGTCATCTGTGGGGTGCTGTATGCCGTGGACAGCTATAACCAGCGGAACGCCAACATCTCCTATGCTTTTGACACCCACACCAACACGCAGATTGTTCCCAGGCTGCTGTTTGAGAACGAGTATTCCTACACCACCCAGATAGACTACAACCCCAAGGACCGCCTCCTCTATGCCTGGGACAATGGCCACCAGGTCACCTACCACGTCATCTTCGCCTACTGACACGCCTGACCCCACAAAGAGAAGCGCAGAGGGGCCACTAGCACCTTGTGTGTGTCTGTGTGCATGTCTGTGTGTGCGAGTGTGCAGGTGGGTGTGTGTTGGTTTAAAATCTATATTATTTTGTATAATATGACAAATGTAAAGTGACAGTTTGGGTCTTATTTTTTTTTATATGGATTGTAGATCAATCCATACGTGTATGTGCTGGTCTCATCCTCTACAATGTATATTTTTGTGCAAATGAACTTCTCCTTTTGACCAGTAACCTACCTTCCTTCGTGCTCGAACCTCTAACTCCTGAGCGCAAGGTGAAGGGTTTCTTCCTCTGGGTCTTGGAGCCAGACTGTGTCAGGAGCAGGAGTGAAGGGCTCAAGAAAGAAGTGCTAAGTGGCGGGAAATTTTTTAATGTATTAGAGAAGTTCTTAAAACTTGAGAAAAAAAATGTCTTTTTTTTTTTAATAAAGGAGAAGTTTTAAAATCCTTTCCCAGGTCATTTTTGTTTAGCAGGGATGCATTTCACTAGGTGTCAGCCTCCCGCTTCTGCAGGAGATGGGTCTGCTGTTCCATCAGAAGCGGAAGTGTTCTTTCAGCCTAGTGACGTACACCTGAAATCCCAGGAAGGCCTCTAGTTCAATGCTACGTGGGCTACGGCAGAGTGAATTCCAGACCAGTTTAGGCAAGTTACCAAGCTTCTGTCTGGAAAAAAAAGAGAAGAAGAAAAAGAAAGAGTATTCTATTGCCAAACTGGCCTAAATCCAAGTTGAGGTGCAAGACATTCCCTCTCTCGTCCTTGGCGTAGTGGTGATGTGAGTTCTTTCTCTTCCTCTCCTCTTGTCCCCCCGCCCTCCTCTTCTCCCTCCCTATTGCCCCCCTTCTGCCATCTGATAGCCTCGCACTCACAATCCTCCTGTCTCACCCTCCAATCACTCTGATGACGAGCACGAGCCCACACACACTGCACCAGCAACCTAGCCTCTGGCCCGAAGTTAGTTACTGTTGAAAATACAAAGCTGAGTGTGACCATCCGCAGCCTTCCTTAAGAAATCTTCCCCTAGTCAGTCAGCCAACACACCAGACAGCTGTCTCCTCTTCTGCCCCCAATCTTGTCCATTGTATCATCCCAAATGTGCCCCCAGATAGGACATTTCTTACAGAAACAAGGTTCCTAAGGGGCAAGGAGAACTGCAGAGCCCCCGAGTTCAGACAGCCCCACGTGGGACCTGCAGCCCACACTGTAGTTCTCCCAAGGCACAGGCACCCGGAGAAAGGTGGGGGATGGTGTGGGAAGAAGCAGAGGTGATAAGGCGGGGAGAGAATGGCATCATGTCGCCACACAAGGCCCACTGTCCATCCCACTCTCTCTGGAGAACCCCAGCTGCCCATATGTCCTTGTGGGCCTCAGCCTCCTAGCCATGGCCACCCGTCATTGCTGCTCTAGTCTTCCTGTGTGGCTTCCCAGTCTGCCTCTCCACTTGACCCACCGGCTTCCTGGCACCACCCACAATGGACAGGTTTTACTATCCTTTAACATTATCCCTGTTGGGCTCCAAGTCCGATTTCTCAGATGATTCTAGATTTTATCAAGTGGGCAATTAACACTCACCACCTTAAATGATACATTATAAATAAGTACAGCAAGAGTTGTTTTAAGACAAATTTGTGAGTTAGTGTCCATAATTTTATTTGTAGTGTTATTTTGTAGACCTTGTACCCAGGGATCTGTACAAGTTTCTCAGATGGAGAGGGGTTTCAAATGGAGAAAGTGTGAAAACCCCTATCGTGATGGGTGCGAAAGAGTAAAGCAGAAAAGAGACAGAGGAAGAAGGAAGGGAGGAGCTTCCTCACTTTAAGTCTAGACTACCGGTGGCCCGGATGGTTCCAGAGATTCTGAGGTCACTCGGTGAGGTTGGTGGCATTCTGCTGCTACTGCTTGGTCAATGCATGGGAACAGCATGGGTGACTGCATATGCCTCCTTCCTGTCTGCTCCCAGCTTGTGAGGAGGGATCTTGGGCGCCTGTGTCTGAGTCCTGGCTCCCTGCTTGGCCCTTATGTGAGCTTGCGTAAGCCCCTTAACCACTCTTGAGTCCAGTTGTCTCTAAAAACAGGCCTGACTTTGTCTGCAAGGAAGGTAGATTGTAAAATGCTCAAGGAGGGTAAAGTACAGGTGTGAAAAACATTAGCCATCAGGCTGGGAATGGGGCTCAGTGGGAGGCTTGCTCGCCTAGAACACATGAAGTCCTGGGTTCCGTCCCCAATACAACATAAACAAGAGTTACATATGGCAGTGCACACTTGTGATCACAGCTCTACGGGAAGGCAGAGGATCAAGAATTCAAGGTCATCCTCGATTCCAGAACTAGTTCAAAACCAGATAGGGATAGATAGATGAGACCTTGCCTCAAAAACAGCAGCAACAAACACTGGCCATTATTGCCATCTAAAGATAAATTCCTTATCTTGACTTCCCAAGTCAGTCCCTCCTTCGAATTTCCTTGATGTTCTTCTGGTTCCCGGGGACAAAACAAAAGGCCCTCTTTACTCTCCTATCTCCTTGAGTCTCTACAGCAGCACTCAGGAGGACAGTAGCTCTGTCAGACAAATCCTAACCCCAGTGTGTGTTGACTGTGTGATCTTATGATCTGAAACAAGATATTGAGATTCTCTGAGTCCCATTTTTCTCCTGTTAAAAATGTCAGTAATGGATGTCTAGAGGACTGGTTGGAGATGTAACAAAACAGCTAAAGCATAAGAAGAAATAAATAAGCACTTAGTTTTAGCTTTTATTATGAAAATAATTCCAAAAAGAAGAAACCAGGGTACTGAGGAGATGGCTCAGTAGGTAAAGTATCTGTACAGCAGGAGGACCCGAATTTGTGTTCCCTACATCCATAAAACACGGAACATGGTGGTGCCTGCTTGTTATCCTATTGCTGGGGAGTGGAGACAGGCATCCCAGGGGCCCAATGGCCAGCCAATCTAGCTGAACTGGCTGGCTCTCGGTTCAGTGAGAGACCTTGTCTTAGACAGCAAGGTGGAGAGTGACTGATGAGGACACCTGACATCAATCTCTGCTCCAGAGAGAGAGAGAGAGAGAGATACACATAGACACACACACACACACACACAGACACACAGACATACACACAGATATACACACAGAGACAGGCACACAGACAGACACAGACATATACACAGAGACAGACATACAGACAGACAGACACACACAGATATACACACAGAGACAGACACAGTCACAGACATACACACAGGTATACACACACAAACATACACACAGACACACACATAGATATACACACACAGACAGACACACAGACATACACACAGACATACATACACACACAAAGACACAGACACACACACAGTCACAGACATACACACAAATGCACAGATATAGACATACACACAGTCACAGACATACACAGATGCACAGACGCACACAGACGCACACAGAAAAATAACAAACATCAGACACCACAAAATAGAAAGTATAAGAAATCCCCATATTTGTATGTCCAAGTCATCATAATCATCAGTGTTTTGTTATATTTGCCTTGATTTCCCTTTCTGCGCATACACTCTAAACTGAAGTCAGCTCACCATTTTACACCAGCATTCTCTACGCATCTCTGACAGGAAGAGATACTTTTCTACACTGACTTCCACTTAACAAGTTTAAGGCGATTCTTTAGACCATTACCACTGGCCCACACTTAACTTCCCAGCGGTCTGAGACTTCTTGTACTATTGGGGGGGAGTTGGAAAATTTGGCCCACACATTGAACTTAGGGCTCGTAGCTTAAGTCTTTCTTCTCTTACTAATCTTTTATTTGGGGCTAATTTTAGATTTCCAGAAAAGTTACAAAATCAGTAGAGATTTCCTGCATACCATTTGCTCAATTTCCCGCAACGTTAACACTTTACCCAATCCCGGTCTCTGACAAAATTAAGACTGATTGCAATCTCCTTGAGCTCAGCGTGGTCAAGACTCCCTCCCTGCCTTCCGTCATGCCATGGCCTGGCTGAAGAGACTGCTGTTTTCTGCGGGAATGCCTCTTTCTGCTCACTCTCTCCCACCACTCAACTTAGTTGTCTCACCTCTACTTTCCCTTTAAAGATTAGGTTGGGCTGCAGAGATGGTTCAGCCTTTAAGAGCAGAGGACCCTAGTTCACTTCCCAGCATCCACACGGTGGCTCACAACCATCCATGACGCTGTGGTGCATAGACATACATAGGGGCAAAATACTCAAATACGTAATAGACAAATAAATCTAAACACTTAAAAAAATAAAGATGAAGTTAAGTCTAAAGATTCAGTTAGCACCAGGCGGTGGTGGTGCATACCTTTTATCCCAGCACTTGGAAGGAAGAGGCAGGTAGATCTCTATGAGTTCGAGGCCAGCCTGGTCTACAAGAGCTAGTTCCAGGACAGGTTCCAAAACCACAGAGAACCCCTGGCTCGGAAAAAAAAAAAAGATTCAGTTAGCTAATTTTCATTCTCCCCTTGCTCACACACCACGCTGGGATGCTATCTGCAGACACACCCTCTCAGGTCCACCTGTCTCTTGTGGGCCCTCCCAGATTTGCTGCTGACAGATAGACCTGGCTTTGATTGTGTGGATGACCACCAGGCCATTATTTATTTTGATCGATATTCCATGATTTATTTGGTGTATTTATTTATTTATTTATTGCTCCCGTAGGAGAGTTTACATGAATTCGGTGAGTCTTTGAAAACTCTCAGGTCAGCTCGGCGGTGGTGGCTCAGGCCTTTAATCCCAGCACTTGGGAGGCAGAGGCAACAGAAAAATCTCTGTGAGTTCGAGGCCAACCTGGTCTACAAGAGCTAGTTCCAGGATAGGCTCCAAAGCTGCAGAGAAACCCTGTCTCGGAAAAAGAGAGAGAGAGAGATAGAGAGAGAGAGAGAGAGAGAGAGAGAGAGAGAGAGAGAGAGAAGAAAACTCTTAGGACACACAAACAACAACAGCAACATACAGATTCATGTGAGTAACATATGGTACGTGTGCATGTGTGTGCGTGTGTGTGTGTGTGTGTGTGTGTGTATGTGTGTGTATGGAGGGGTCTCACTATGGACTCCAGGCTGGCCAAGAACTTGTGATCTTCCTTCCTCAACCTCCCAAGTGCTGAGATTTCTCGCTGTGCACCATCGTGCCATGCTGGAAAATGTTTTATAATCAAAACATCAAGTGGCTTGAGAGATGGCTGGGCTGTTAAAAGCACTGGCTGCTCTCCCAACCACCCAGGTTCAATTGTCAACCCCCACATGGTGACTTCCAACCATTTGTAATTTCAGTGTCAGGGGATTTGATGTTCCTCTTCATACTGCAGACTACGGGCATGCGTGTGATACACATATCCAGAAAATAAAAATAAAATTTTAAATAAATTTAAAAAGAAAAGAGTTGCAAAACCAAACGCTGAACTTGATTGTAGTTTGCC